GTAGTTCTGGGCTGATTCCTCACCGTTCTCATGATCATTGCAACTCCACGAGGTGAGATCTTGCATGGAGCCCCAGGCCGAGGGAGATTGACAGTTCTTTTGTGTTTCTTACATTTGCGAATAATCGCACCAACTTTTGTCACCTTCTCACCAAGCTGCTTGGCAATGGCCTTGTAGCCAATTCCAGCCTTGTGTAGGTCTACAATCTTGTCCCTGACATCCTTTGAGAGCTCTTTGGTCTTGGCCATGGTGGAGAGTTTGGAATCTGATTTATTGATTGCTTCTGTTGACAGGTGTCTTTTATACAGGTAATAAGCTGAGATTAGGAGCACTCCCTTTAAGAGTGTGCTCCTAATCTCAGCTCGTTACCTGTATAAAAGACACCTGGGAGCCAGAAATATTTCTGATTGAGAGGGGGTCAAATACTTATTTCCCTCATTAAAATACAAATCAATTTATAACATTTTTGATATGCGTTTTTCTGGATTTTCTTGTTGTTATTCTGCCTCTCACTGTTCAAATAAACCTACGATTAAAATTATAGACTGATCATTTCTTTGTCAGTGGGCAAACGTACAAAATCAGCAGGGGATCAAATACTTTTTCCCCTCACTGTACGAGCTAAATTGACAATGAATGCCCTACTATCTCTGCATCCCTGAGATCCTCGCTTGCATTGTTACGAGCTGCACTTACTTGCACAGCTGCAGATCGAAACCACTGGCAAATCGCTGGGCATTCAATCCCAGTGTAATGGCATCTACAGGGATATCCAATTTCTTTCAATCGTCTATTTTATTAAGATGAATAATAAAAAAAAAACACTCTTGTTCATTTATGGTTTTGTTCAAATGGGCAAACGCGGAATGTCTTGGTCTAAATGGCTCTGCCAAAAGGGCAATGATAGCAGCCATTGCAACCTCCTTCACACTTGAACAATGGTCTCCTGCTGTCAGCTGAAATTGTCTTTGCACTTCCAGTAAAGTAAATAAATGTATTCCTTTGGAGCCTTTCATTATTTCAGACAACCCATTTTTATCCTCGGCCGGTGGTTGTGGCCATTCACCAGAATTCTAGTGATACTGAACACACTACTTCAATTAATAACTTGCATGTGTATTGAGCACATTGTGGAACAACTCTTTATAAAACGGTAATAGCTCTAGCATGATGCTCACATCTGCTTCATTGTGCATTGCTATTGTGCATGATCTTGTTTTTATTTAACTCACAGTGTGCTGCAGAAGATGAGGGAACTGGGCTACGTCCCCTAGCGATGCACAACTTGAGCGACGTGCCGTTGTCTGTACCTGTTCTGATCCTTCACCGGGTTGTTGACACGTGACTGGTAAAGACGACAGTCTCTGAGTTTGCGTCGTCGTAAATAAAGAAGTCCAAAAATCTGTCATCCAATAATTCGCAAATCCAAGCACTTTGCAACGCCCTCGCGGTTAGCGGAAACTCTGAAGCAATCGGCAGGGGATGAAAATCCCACACGTCCAAGAAGTTTCCGCAGATATTTTTTGGGACTTTTTTTGATGGCGGCTAAAGAAAACCTCCTAAAATCCGCGATTTTTCCGGCGCGGACTTTTGGAGTCATTTTCGCGGTGTGCCGTGGATTACAGGGTCCACAACAGCCGCCCCCAACAATCATCGTGGAGTGTTGGTGCTCGACTGTACAGTCGACACAAGAGGGCAAAGGTAAAATGCCTCACCTCTCAAGTGTGCTTGGGACTTTGAGCCAGCCAGCAATGGACATTCCACATTATCACGGAGAAGAAGCTATGCGTAGGAGCTCTTTTATACGTGTATACATTTCACAGTTACGAGTTGTGTAGGTTGTCCAAAGCTCCAATCACATTGCATCTTAGAATTAACAATCTGCTTCTGTGAAATAGCAAATTTTCTCAACAGCAATTACCAAAACACAAAAAATTACATTTCCACTCATTTGGCACTGATGAGAAACATCAAATAAAACTGCTTTGTATTTTTTACTGCAATAATAGATGTTGCTGTTAATTAAAAGGGCAAACATTTGTTTCATTAGCTGCAATAAAAATGTGGATAGCTGTTGCTGCTGGCTGGGAGGTGCTCTCAGTGTTGTGAGCCGAGGCTGTTGCTCTATGTAAGTTGAACTTCTTTCGCACCGTACGCAAGACAACCGTGCTAATCAGGAGGTGCGGGGGAAGGACAACAAACTGAACACAAAAGTAACTTTAAATGATGGACATTGCTCTATTACTGCCCTCCCTCCATTAAACCTGCAATAGATTAGGCCATTGTTGGGGCTTATTAAGGTATTGGCTTTAGTTAGCTCATTGCAATAATATCATAATGCAAACAAACCATAAACAAAGTGAGAAAAAACCCGAGCCAGAGTGTAAACAAGAATATCTGGTTGAGATTGAAAAGACGTCAACATTCTATTTAACATCAATACAGTATATTATATTGTGTACCCTGTTATGGTTATAGATACAGTAATAATTGTCGTTTCAATGCACAAGAATTGTAATCTGTTTTTCCTCGAACTGGTGTGACGTTCGTGCGGGTGTGCATGATAAATGTGTTTATACGTCGTGGGGGTGATGGCTCGGTAACCACACACACAGCAGCTCGGTTAGCAGTGATTTCTGGGTAACCACACACACACCAGCTTGGCTAGCTGTGATCTCACAGTCATCACACACAGCAGCTTGGCTAGCGGTGACCTCTCAGTCACCACACACAGCAGCTTGGCTAGCGGTGATCTCACAGTCATCACACACAAAGCAGCTTGGCTAGCGGTGATCTCTCAGTCACCACACACACAGCAGCTTGGCTAGCGGTGATCTCACAGTCATCACACACACAGCAGCTTGGCTAGCGGTGATCTCTCAGTCACCACACACACAGCAGCTTGGCTAGCAGTGATCTCTCAGTCACCACACACACAGCAGCTTGGCTAGCGGTGATCTCTCAGTCACCACACACACAGCAGCTTGGCTAGCGGTGATCTCACAGTCACCACACACACAGCAGCTTGGCTAGCGGTGATCTCACAGTCATCACACACAAAGCAGCTTGGCTAGCGGTGATCTCTCAGTCACCACACACACAGCAGCTTGGCTAGCGGTGATCTCACAGTCATCACACACACAGCAGCTTGGCTAGCGGTGATCTCTCAGTCACCACACACACAGCAGCTTGGCTAGCGGTGATCTCACAGTCATCACACACAAAGCAGCTTGGCTAGCGGTGATCTCTCAGTCACCACACACACAGCAGCTTGGCTAGCGGTGATCTCTCAGTCACCATACATACAATGCAGCTTGGCTAGCGGTGATCTCTCAGTCACCACACACAGAGCAGCTTGGCTAGCGGTGATCTCTCAGTCACCACACACACAGCAGCTTGGCTAGCGGTGATCTCACAGTCACCACACACACAGCAGCTTGGCTAGCGGTGATCTCACAGTCACCACACACAGCAGCTTGGCTAGCGGTGATCTCTCAGTCACCACACACACAGCAGCTTGGCTAGTGGTGATCTCACAGTCACCACACACACAGCAGCTTGGCTAGCGGTGATCTCACAGTCACCACATACACAGCAGCTTGGCTAGCGGTGATCTCTCAGTCACCACACACAGCAGCTTGGCTAGCGGTGATCTCTCAGTCACCACACACACAGCAGCTTGGCTAGCGGTGATCTCACAGTCACCACACACACAGCAGCTTGGCTAGCGGTGATCTCGCAGTCACCACACACACAGCAGCTTGGCTAGCGGTGATCTCACAGTCACCACACACAGCAGCTTGGCTAGCGGTGATCTCTCAGTCACCACACACACAGCAGCTTGGCTAGCGGTGATCTCGCAGTCACCACACACACAGCAGCTTGGCTAGCCGCCACAGCATCAGTGATGAGTGATATCCGAACCAACCTCGCCGATTTCGCGACCAATATTATCCATAATAAAGGTATTTTGGGTGAGATCATGTGAACATAAACGTGTCGAAACGTCGTACTGAAATTGTAAATGTTGTGGGTTCACTCTCCGACACACCGGTGTGCTGAACTAGTAACTAATTGGCACGTTTAGTTTACCTGATAAACAATACAAATAGGCTGTGTTGAGTGGTTGTGGGTTTAATGACACATTTATATTCACGCGATCTTACCCAGCTGTATTATTATGAATTGCAGTGGTTTACAGAGTGGTTAACACGGTGGATAAAGCACTGCACAATCTGCCCAAGAAACTATTTAATTCCATTGGGTTGGTAATTGGTAATTCTGTATAATTTAGCCTGGGTTTCTCACAGCTCGACGCAACCTAAACGAGCTCCCAATGCAATAAGTTAGCAGAAGTACCGAGGGAGACAAAGGCAGCGGGTAAGATGCATACACAGTGCTGGCAATACCGCTGTGTGAACCTCAATAAGAGGCTCAATAACATAACTAGCTCTGTCAGCTCATGACGCTAAACGTGGAAAGGTAGTCTTTCATCTCTATCCCAGTCTGTGCTTGGGCAGACGTATACACTAAATATGCATAAGTATTAGGCTATATAAATCCTTCAATGGTTGAATGTGTAAATGTGTTCCTATATAAATAACTGTGTTTATACGCAACTTTGAACATTCATTGCGTGTGTGTGCGTATATACCGCGCAAGCTTCTGCGTGGGGGCCAGTGCCATGCATGTGCCCTGCGTGCCGGCGAGCAGCGCGCACAGCCCTCCGACGTGTTTGCGCGGTGCCGCGTGTCGCTCAGCTCCCCAGCGCGTGCAGCGAAACTTTGGACGTCGCGCCGAACAAACAAACACGCGGTACGAGTTTAAAGCACCGCAGGGGGAGCTACGTCGCACCCCCTGGGGAACCATGGTACGCTGGGTCTGTACCCGGCCGCCGTGCGCTACGCCACAGCCTCTGCCGATTCCTCGTGCCAACGGCTGGTCGTGTGGTGGAGAGGGACGTGTGGTGGAGAGGGATGGCGAGCGTGCGCGTCCGGTACCAGCAGGAGGAGAGGATCTTGCAGAAGGCCAGCTCGCAGCACATGCGCAGGTTGTTGCGGTGGTCAGCCAGCTCTGCGGACGAGCACTTGCTCAGCTCCACCTCGCAGTTCTCGTCAGAGTCGTAGAGCGCTCGCACGAACTCGCCTTCAACGACAAAAGCACGGGCACGCATGCAGCACGGCGCGCAACTTTAGCCCGGAGGCGACGTCGCGTCTCTGAAGGGGAACTGCTGCTCTCGCAGATTTTGTATTTTTCTTTGACCTTCAAAAACAGAGCCAACTTACGTAACGCACATTGCTCATCTCCGGGTGGGGAGAGGGGGGAAAGTGCTGGGAGTCGTGTTGAGAGAAGAGGTTAATATTAGCTTGGCTTAAAATTTTCACTCTTTGCGCAGCGTCAGCTATATTCGCACAAAACATCAGAAGCATTGTGGTGTGCTTTTAAACAAGTGCCCTCATACTTACATACATATATATGTACTTGATTATCGCTCTGGGACTTGGGCTTGTTCAATTCAAATGATATAATTCTGACTGCACCAATTATGAATTCTCGATTATCCTTCCAGACAGATGATGTGGCAAGGCCATGAGCAATGGCGTTGATAAGCACAAGTCAGTTTCAACGTCTACGAACTCGGCAGAAGCTAAAAATAATGTACAATTAAAAATGAGAAATAGCTGAAAACACTTTCCGTCTCGGAATAAACTTTTTTTGTCCATTTGCTGTGCAAGCAGCAGCAAACGCCGAATGTAAGATATGCCTGCTCTATTGTAAATGGCACCATATTTTAAGATATGCCTGCACTATTGTAAATGGCACCATATTGTAAGATATGCCTGCTCTATTGAAAATGGCACCATATTGTAGATATGCCTGCTCTATTGAAAATGGCACCATATTGTAGATATGCCTGCACTATTGTAAATGGCACCATATTGTATTTATGCCTGCACTATTGTAAATGGCACTATATTGTAAGATATGCCTGCTCTATTGAAAATGGCACCGTATTGTAAGATATGCCTGCTCCATTGTAAATGGCACCATATTGTAGATATGCCTGCTCCATTGTAAATGGCACCATATTGTAAGATATGCCTGCATTATTGTAAATGACACCATATTGTAAGATATGCCTGCTTTATTGAAAATGGCACCATATTGTAAGATATGCCTGCCCTATTGTAAATGGTACCATATTGTAGATATGCCTGCTCTATTGAAAATGGCACCATATTGTAAGATATGCCTGCGTCATTGTAAATGGCACCATATTGTAAGATATGCCTGCTCTATTGAAAATGGCACCATATTGTAAGATACGCCTGCTCCATTGTAAATGGCACCATATTGTAAGATATGGTTTTGGACAGAACGGTTGAATTCTGTTTTGTACGCGGACAAGTGAACCGATAACTCTCAGAATCAACGGAAACATAATTTGAACACTAATTTCTTTAGAATATCTTTTTGTGCTTAGTTTGGTATCTTCCCCTGCACCTCTGATTAGCACGGTTGGCTACGTATGGTGCGAAAGAAGTTTCATCATACATAGATACATCTTTACCCCTATTACATGTAGACGAACGAGAAAAAGCTTTCTCGCCTGAGCTACGCACATGTTGCATTATCCGCGTTTGTGTTCACCCCTGCGAGCCCACGATTACCCCGGACAACTGAGAGTTGAATATTTACGGCAACTACGGGCGAGTCTCGCGTAACGACTCCCCCAGTAGGCTGGGAGCGGAAGAGCAGGCACAGGCGGCGCGCGGTGACGACTGAGGGTTGGAACATACCGAGGGCGTCGTGCAGGTACCACTGGCCCACCATCTTGAGGTACTCCTCGATGGCCTTGGTGGCGAGTGTGTTCTCCCGGAAGAGCAGATGCTCGTTCTCACTGCACCGCGTCACCTCCGCGATCACCAGCTCCGCCAGAAACTCCTGCGCGCATCGCACGGCACAAGCGTTACGCCTTGGGGGGGTGTGGGGCGGGAGGGGGGGGGGGGTGTGGCGGCGCGTGAATTCAGCTCCAGGGCAATACCACCGTTGGGAGCCTGACGGATTTACACCAGCACCTCGGGACAATGTTAACTACCGCCCCTGGTACACAGGAGGTCGTGCGTTCGATCCCGACCCTGATGCCTGCTGTATATTTGGGGTTGGCGTGTCTCTTTCCCTGTGGTCGCGTGAATTTTTCTCCGGGTCCTCCGGTTTTTCCCTCCACATCTTGAATCAACGTGAGTTTAGAGTGTTTGGCTGCTGTAAATTTCCATTTGATAAACCACTTCGTTCAGCGATCATTTGTGGCCATGTCGCTTATGAAAAAAAGCTATATAGCTCAGTGGGCTTTATCTGGTAAAATAAAAATGGTTTAGTTTAGTCTAGTTAATACAGTCGAAGCCGCATATAAGCACACCCAATATAAACAGTTCCGGTGTAAGCAACACATCCTTACATTACATTGGTGAGGTGTAGGCGAAATAAACTTACAATACAAGCATACTCCCGATATAAGCACACTTGGCATTGTTCCCAAGGTGTGCTTACATCAGGCTTCTACTGTCACGACGTGGTGGAGTGGTAGCGCAGTGATTAGCACTTGATGCTCGTTACCAAGGAAAGCAAAACTCGTTTACAGCCAGGTCCTGATAGGGTTTCACAGCTGCCGGCGATGTTGCTGCTGCTATGTGTAATCTCAACCAAGTTTATTTCAGATAATCTTTGCAAAACTATTAAATCAAAGTATTTTTTAGTTTACAAAAGAAGGGCCCTACAGAGCTATATAGCTCTTTTTCAGAAGTGACTTAGCCCAAATACTCTAAATGCATGTTTCTAAATGTGGAGGGAAAAACAGGAGGAACCCGGAGAAAAAACCCTCAACCACAGGGAGACCATGCCACCTACAAATATACAGGCGTCAGGGTCGTGGTCGAACCCATGCACTCCTGCATACAAGGAGAGGTAGTTAACATCTCGCCACGGTGACACCCCATGGGATGTTTGGCCAACGCCAGTTATTTTGTTTGGGTAAAAATTTGTTTGAGCTATGGGAGGAAACCAGAGAACGCGGGGGAATCCCATGCAGAACAGAGCGGGAACATACAAACTCCACGCAAAAGTTAGGAATCAAACCCAGGCCCATCTTGCTGTGAGGCTCAAGTGTTACAACTTGTGCTACCCTGTGCTGCCATCAATCTCAGCATGTTGCACCCAACGCAAATTCTGGATCGCAGTCATTGGTGCCACAACACTCTACAATTGTAACGATCAACGGTGCTCACTGACAACGCCGATGATGCAGATTATATTATTTAACATTCAGGGCAGCATGGCATCTAAAGTTAGTGGTGGGACAGGGGATAGGGGAGCAACTTATTTTTATTATTGAAACCCATGCATCGGTTCTCCGAACACAACACGCTCGGTTGTGCTTGGTACACCCCGCGTAGAAATAACAATCACACACGGGTACATACGGCATGGGAAAACACACACGACGTAGTAGTGCTGCAGAAAATGTGATCTGGTAGGTCAGCGAAAATATAACCTAATGAGTCTCATTGTGAGATAGGGTATTGAATTTCAATAGCATTAGGAATGTGTGAATTTTGCCCAAGACATCAGAATGCTTCACAGAAAAAGAAAAACGATCAAAATTCCGATGAACAAAAATCACCCTGAATGCACCCGGATCTCATCAAATCTTGGAAGCCACGCAGGGTTAAGCCTAATTTGTAACCGGACGGGACACTGCTCGCAAATTACAGGTTCTGTAGGGTTCGGACTGCAAGGTGGCCAGGAGGTAACACTACAGAAAGAGATTCTTGAAATCTATCTGTGCAGATGAGAATGTTACATGCTCGCTTCTGTGGGTCCTCTCCGGGCACTCCGGTCTCCCGCCACATGCCAAGCACTCCGCTGCATCGTCAAATCACAATACGGTGGCTGGGGAAGGCCTTCAACTAGCAGTGGATTGATGAAAAGTCAGAATAGGTTTTACCATTTCTAGCAATAAAACAGGAGGTGTTAAGATGTTCAAACACCAAATAGAAACCTATTACAAGGGATCAAGTTGGCATTAATGGCATCAAGTCTGCAGCCTTGATGCCATGAAAAGGGTATAATCTATTTGGTGTTTGAATATCTTCACACCTCCTGTTTCATTGCCAGGAAGGGAAAAGGCCATTCTTATTTTTCATCATTTTGGATACTGGCAAAAAAAAGGTACCGTAGATATAGCAGCGGACAGATCGTGGCTGTTGATGATGCCACGTGTTCACTATTGTAACTGGCCAAACATCCCAAGCGAACCCTCCTTGAAAGAGTCTTGAGACTCACGTAAGCTTACCTGCATAACTTATTTAATTAGTAATATTACAACAAATAAGATAAGTACCCACGATATAGGCACATAAAAATACATATGCCTTCATTATCAGGTCTCGAGAGAAACACCAAAAGGCCCAATTAACGTCGTGCATCTAAACAATGTGTAGCTCTCCGAATGCACTAATGCAGAGCTGTGCATTTTGTCCGGTTAAACGAAGATGTTTGGGGCCCGTTGCAAAGGATACAGAGTTGAATTTATTACGCGCTTAAATACAACTGCTTCTCAAGACGCTTTTACAAAGGCCGCAGAAATAATCGCAGCTTCAGCGGGGCAACAGTGCGAGGAGAGCGTGGACGTAACGATGCAATGGAATAGGGCCCGGGAGAAAGGGACCGAAAAAAGAGGGGGGTGAAACCCCCTCGGGAGACGAAGCGAGAGCAGAATAGTAGAGGGAAAGTATCAATGCACATCGCCCGCCTGCATGTTATTTGATTTCAAGGTTATTCGGTTATACCCCCCCCCCACCATTTGTTTAAATGTCTATCCTCTCCCCGACGTGATGTCCACACATTGTTGGGGCATGCAGGGCTCCTTTCCAAGTCTTTCAATACCCACCCCCGTCTTTTATATACGGTTCAGTTGCGTCGAGACTGTTGCTCGCAAATTTTTGTCACACCGGGTTGTGCGAGTCTTGCACCGTGCCCTAACGTGCCCGCGTTTTATTACGATAAAAGCAACAACAAAAATGTAAACCCAAAGCAATAGAAATGGGGGTGGGAAGACAACGCGGTGGGGGGGGGGGGGGTTGAATGGAAACACGACAAAGTGCGGGCTAGCTGCAGCAGCAAAACACACCGCCGAGTCGCCAGGAAAGTCCTGGTGCATAAGGGAAACTCATTATTTGGTGAAAATAACATTCTCAATGATGGAGCACACACAACAAATGCTCATTGTGCTTCGCCAAATAATGCCATGGGCTTAAAAGGAAAAGAAAATAACACTATAGGTAATCGGTGACGTCTCGGGCGATGGCCCTTCCTCATAGCGAGAGAGCGATTGTACACATTAGGAGGCATTGTTAGTGACGAATGTGTTGTGTTTTTGGTATACAGAGGATCTGATCGTCACTGCCAGTCCACCATCCACAAGGCCACCTCAGAAAATGGCATCTTCTGCATCCGCATACTCAATCTCTCACTGGATGAGAAACAATCTCTGCTTTGATTATGCTTTTCAGAGTCAATGGCAAACCGAATAACTCGGTGGTCATACTGAGAGGCGTGTGTGCATGAGAATGAAGCACCGAAAATATTTTTTTGTTGAAGTGTGCACATGCTGAAGACATAGACGCACGGCAGACTAAAGCTCCCCTTGGTGTCCGGCTACTGCCACGGTGGCTAGGGGATGTTAACTACATCGCCTGGTATGCAGGAGATCGTGGGTTTGATCCCGCCCCTGACGCCTGCTGTATATTTGGAGTTTGCATGTCTCCCCGTGATTGTGTGGATTCTTCTCCGGGTCCTCGGGTTTTAGAATCGACATGCCTTGAGTATTTGGCTGCTGTAAATTTTCACGTGATAAGCCACTTCGTTGAGCTCTCATTTGTGGCCAGGTCGCTTCTGGAAGAGAGCTATATAACTCAGTGGGCCTTTCCTGGCAGAGGCAGGTGATCGAAAAGTCCTCCCCACATGTCAGGGGAAGATATTTGTGAATAATGGATTCTCATGAAACCAACTCCGCACACCGTGGGACCTCAGCGCCTCGGACAAGTTCAAAGATGAGTGCATTCAGTGATGTCACTCGCTGCTCTCAATTATTCATGGCCACTGATAGCACAGCAACGCGTGTTCAGATTTCAATTGAATTTTGCATGCATGTCAGGAATGTCAATAATTGTTCTTTTTTTTCATGTAGCAGTCACTTCTTGCAGTGTGACATTATATAGTGTTTCTATACCACGTCACTGGAATCCAACCACAAACACACTTTATAACTGTTCAAGGGCACTGAGGTTTGGAGGATGTAATTCAAGTTATACAGCATCCCGCTAGTCCGAATTCTTTGAGAATAAATTACTTCAGGGACCGGCAACCAAGGAGGTGGCTGACTGTTTTCAGTCTCAAAATTCAATTCAATACTTTTGCATGCAAAACATATGAACACGAAAATAATTTGACACATTTGTCACAAAGCCGGTGTTTGTTAAATAAATAAAAATCATCATGAAGGTATTGTCAACCGATATTGGATGTTTATCCATTTGATGGATGCTGCCAAGGTATAATGGTTAGCACCACGGCCTTGTAATGCAGAGGTCACCCGTTTGATCTCCTGGGGAACGTTCCTTAATCCCGACCGCCTCTCTCCGCCCAGCAAATATAAATGGGTGCCACCGCAGTTCGTCGATGGGCAGGTCCCAAGTGGTGGGGTAAAGTGTGGTCACTCCCACCTCTTCCAAGACACCCTCTAGGGCAGTGGTTCTCAACCCTCTTTGGCTACTGTGACCCCTCTTGTAGAATTTTGTTTCAACCGAGTACCCCCCCCCCCCCCCCCGACCCCTTGATAAATAAATGTATAAATAAAGGACATCGATATTTTAACCAACTAGCTA